ATGTCGCTGACGGCCCTTTGAAGGATTGCTTTGGCCAGAGACCTACTCCTCAGCCTGCTGCCTCTATGACTCATTCTGGCTCCATGTTTTGGTACCAGGAAAGAGCGAGATGAGTTGAAGGAAGCGTTTCTTAATGCTCTAGGTAGTAGAGCAGCAATTTGGAAAGTATGGTGCTCGTTACAGATCACAGATAACGGGCTTAACAAAAAAATTATTGAGATGGGGGAGCGTGGGTGGCTCAGTCAGTGAAGCATCTGACTTTGGCTCAGGTCATGATCTAGCGGTTTGTGAGTTCAAGTCCCGTGTCGGGCTCTGTGCTGACAGCTCAGAGCCTGGAGCCTGCTTCGAATTCTGTGTCTTCCTCTCTCTCTGCCCCTTCCCTGCTCGCTTTCTGTCCATCTCTTTCTGTCTCTCTTTCTCTCTCTCAAGAATAAGTAAAAACATTAAAAAAATTATTGAGGTGAAATTCACATAAAATTAACCATTTTATTTTTAATTTTTTTAACATTCATTTTTTTTATTTAAAATTTTTTAAAAATGTTTATGTAATTTTGAGGAGGGGGCAGAGAGGCAGAGAGAGAGGGAGACACAGAATCCGAAGCAGGCTCTAGGCTCTAAGCTGTCAGCACAGAGCCTGATGCAGGACTCAAACCCACGGACTGTGAGATCATGACCTGAGCCAAAGTTGGATGCTTAACCTACTGAGCCACCCAGGTGTCCCAGAATTAACCATTTTATTTTATTTAAAAAAAAATTTTTTTTTTACATTTATTTTTGAGAGACAGAATGAGACAGAGAGTGACCAGGAAAGGGACAGAGAGAGAGAGAGAGAGTGGGAGATACAGAATCAGAAGCAGGCTCCAGACTCTGAGCTGCCAGCACAGAGCCCGAAGCAGGCCTCGAACCCACAGACCGTGAGATCATGACCTGAGCTGAAGTCGGACACTTAACCGACTGAGCCACCCAGGTACTCCTAAATTACCCATTTTAAATTGGACGATTTAGTGGCGTGTAGGACATTGACAGTGTTGTGTGGCCACCACCCCTATCTAGTCGCAAACCATTTCCATCGCTCTAAACAAAATTAGAACCCCTTACCTGGTACATGGTTACTTTCTATTTCCCTTTCCCCTCAGCCCCTGGCAACCAGCAGTCTACTATCTGTCTGTATGAATTTACTCATTCTGCATAGTTCATGTAAATGGAATCATGCCATGTGTGACCTTTTGTGTCTGGCTGCTTCCAGTAGTATAGTGCTTTTTGGGGTTTATCCCATGTTGTGTCTTGTATCGGATCATAGAGTTTTAACGACTCCAGACCCCCAAAGACAGCCTCCCTGTAAAGAGTGTCTTTTTGTTTTTTCAATGTTTATACATTTTTGAGAGAGAGAGAGAGAGAATGCATGCATGCATGAGCACGAGCAGGGGAGGGGCAGAGAGAGAGCTGGGGGCAGAGGATCCAAAGCCCACTCTGTGCTGACAGCAGTGAGCCCGATGTGGGGCTCGAACCCGTGAACCGTGAAATCACAACCAGACGCTCAAGCGACTGGGCCACCCAGCCACTCACTCTGAAGCATGAGTTTTCCAGTTAGCGCTAGTTAGGTCCCAGGTACTGGCCGTAGGAAGGGAAGTGGACTAGATTCATTGCTCCCCAAAGAAGCTGCATTATGGACACCTGGAGCATGTCTTTTAAAAATAAGAATTCCTGGGCCCCAGTCAGGGGATCTGAATCTGAGAGTGTGGGGTGATTCTATATGCTGGGTTTGGGAGCCCCTGATCAGGTGACCTCTGGGCCATGAACAACCTGCCTGGCGGGGGCCCTGATGCACCTCCCAGATGCTGTTTCTGTGTGCAGAGATTTCTCTGCCATGCCATTTTTGTCTGCCGCGGCCCCTCCCTGCTGCTTTTGCAGCTCCAATTAACTGTGTCTCATTTATCAAGTCTTTTTTTTTTTTTTTTTTTAAGGTGTTTCACCAGGCTCGTCTTTGGCTTTCTTTGTAAGAAAGCCCTTGCACATTGTGGTGCTTGTCCTTTGCGCCACTCTCACCCCTTCACCTCTGTTAGGATTGGTGGAGGGTCCTCATAAATCTCCTGTCCTCTGAGTAGAAGGACTTCAGCAAGGAGCATTGAGTCCTCTTTCCAACTCTCCTCACTAAAGGCTTTGCCAACTGTTCCCAGTGTGATTTGTCACCTGCCGCAGGGGACTGTGCTGAGGTTGTCCGAGTGAAATCATGATGGGCTTCTTCATCCCAGACCATGAGAACTTGGGTGATTTCCTCTAGATTCCAAATCCTTTATTGTGTTGATATTTGCATACATTCTGTGCTTATTCTCCTCTGTTTCTAAGGGTGGGAATGTTTTTGGAGGGGAAAGAGCTTTAGCCTGAATTCCCAAGGCACCTGTGCTAGTGGGCTTCTGATCTGTAGATGCTTCTAGATTCTTCCCAGAGGCATGAGCTGGAAGGGGCGAGGTAGGGGAATGAGAAGGCTGGAAGTAAGGCATGAGTTGCTGGTGGAAATTCCAATCTTAGCTGCTTTTTCCCTATAGCATTCTGGGTTAACTGATTTACTTCTTTCTTCTGTTTGTCCTTCTCTCTTGATGTTCACTTGGACTTATCCCTGGCAAGGGGAAGGGACATTTTGGAATGACACATTTTCCTGAAAACTGCCAAAGGTCTTTTCTTCTTTCAAGAAGTCTCATTTCAGATATTCTCCCAAAGCACCTGGACCCTGATCAAATTAGATGCAGGCGCTTAAGAGCCAAAGCAGAGTGGCTTAAGGATTAGCTCCTTTGTCATCTTGTCTGCTGGGTTTGTGGCACTGGTGTTTCCTGTCTCCCCTGTGACATCTGGGAACACCTCAAGGAGGGGGTGGGGGGCAAGTTAGGGCAGTGGTGGGGTGGGGAACAGAAAGGAGAAAGGAGGTGTGAGGGGGGAGGGTGATCTACTGCAGAACCTTGTTAGCAGGACAGCTCAGAGGGCACAGCAGCAGCTCAGACTTGAACTTTGCATCAACCAGAGGGGTGAGGGTGGTAGGGTGTGTATGTAGGTGAGGCTGTGCCCCGTCTACCCAGAGCCCAGGAGCTTGATTTCCTGTACACGTGCCCAAGACAACCGAGGCGAGAGAAGCGAGAAGCTTCTCCCAGACACTGCTCAACAAGAGGGAGCGTGCACGCTCCTGACTTGGGGGGGCAGAGGGCGTCATTGCCCCGATTCTGACCATGAACACGAGCTTACAGCCTGTTAGTACGATCCTCGGTTTGCTCTTCACACAGGGTGGGCGAGACGTTAGCTCTGGCGTTGTGGGATACCAGCCCTTGAACCATCCATCAGTGTCAGGTGAAGTAGGACAAAGGAAAGTAATGTAGTTGGTTTTTCATAAAGCAGAGCTTTGTTTTGAGATATAGGTCTTTACTCGGTGTTTGGTGTGAAACTGTCCTTTCTTTAAAAAATGACAGTGATTGTAGATGGCGGTCCTATTGCTTAAGAGGGGTAGCTGCAGGGGCACCTGGGTGGCTTAGCTGGTTAAGTATCCAATGTCAGCTCAGGTCATGATCTCACTGTTTGTGGGTTTGAGCCCCGCGTCCGGCTCTGTGCTGACAGCTCAGAGCCTGGAGCCTGCTTTGGATTCTGAGTCTCCTTCTTTCTCTGTCCCTCTCCCACTCACGCTCTGTTTCTCTCCTTCAAAGATAAGTAAGCATTAAAAAAATTAAAAAGAGGTCTGGCTGCCTAATGGAGGAGTCCCAGAGCTCAGTGGTGTCAGTGTATCGCCCAACTGTGAGGAGTTCAAAACGAGTGTGACTCATTAGTAGAGGGCTTTCTCCTCAGGGGTGTGCGTGCCTTCCTGCTTGTGGTTCAACTCTCCTTTGGGACTCCAGAGTCCCGAATGGAGCCTGCAGATGGAGAAGAAGCAGAGGGGGCCGGGAGGGGGCTGGGGCTAGTGGCACTGACCACCTTTCGTCAATCCCAGACAACCCCCTACTGCAAGGCAGCCTGGGAAAGAGCCTGCGGTGTCCTCAGGAAGCAGAGGAAACCGGTTCAGAGAACAGCAAGTCAGGCTCTGACACAGTGATTGTTTTTGTTAACGCTCTTACCAGGCAAAACAGAGTTGGCCAACTAATCGTCTGTTGGCTTTTCTGATTTATTTTCATTTTACGAGTCTGGGACCTACTGCTAGCCATAATCCAAAGGTCATTTCTGGGGAGTCCTAGAAAAGACTTCCTCACGTGGGACGCTTCAAAACTAATTAAACAAAACTGTATCCTGATGTTTTTCTCATGTCCCTCTTGTTAGGTGCTAAGGATGAGCAGCCAGCTGGAGTACCAGTTTGCCCAGACATTTGAGAGCATGTGATCTTTCTGGCCTGACCGATGTCTCTGAACGAGGAAGCTGTTCCAGTGTTTTAGTTTTAGTATTTTTAATTTTTTAATGTATGTTTATTTTTGAGAGACAGAGAGACAGAGCATGAGTGGGGGAAGGGTAGACAGAGAGGGAGACACAGAATCTGAAGCATGCTCCAGCCTCCGAGCTGTTAGCACAGAGCCTGACATGGGGCTCGAACCCACAAACCACAAGATCCTGACCTGATCCGCAGTTGGACACTGAACTGACTGAGCTACCCAGTCGCCCCTCCAGTGTTTTGGTTTTAAGCCTTAGGAGTGCATGTTCTGTGTGTGGGTTGGGGATGAAAGTAACCAGAGATTGATTATGCAGAAGACAAGAATAAATGAAGTCATTGGTGATGCCAGAGAGAGCCTGAAAAGATTCTTTTTTTTTTTGACATCCATTTATATCTAAAATAGCAAGGAATCCATGTTTCTTTCTGGGGAAGTTGTGTCTGGTGGCATTTGCATTGGTGGAAAAATAGGCCGCCCTGGCCCAGTGTTCCAGATCCGAGACTCTTAGCTATTTCTGAGCGACAAAGAAGGAGAGTCTGGCTTCAGAACGTTATGGCCCTCGCTTCTCATGAGTCCTAATTCCTTTGTTGGTTTGACCTCTTTCAGGTTAGCCTGAACGACTCCCACAATCAGATGGTGGTGCACTGGGCTGGAGAGAAAAGCAACGTGATCGTGGCCTTGGCCCGGGACAGCCTGGCCTTGGCGAGGCCCCGGAGCAGTGATGTAAGTATTGGTGTTGCTCTGTGCACTCCTCTGGGCCACCGGCATGCCCTTTCAGAGTCTGGTGGGGTTATCGTGCCGGAAAAAATAGTGGGTAATTGGAGGGATGGGGGATACATTTTACAACAGGGGAGAGGCCCTAGAAAATACTAAATAACCGCCTTGTTTGTCGAATGGAGGGCGGTGTGGTCACTTTTGCAGTGGGATCCACGGGACGTGTGATCACTTTTGTGAAGTGACAGGGTACGATCTGGACCATTGTGTCCATTCCACAAAATGCTGGAGCCTGAGGGAACCCCTCCCCATTGGGTGAGCTGGTGAATCCAGTGCACTTGTGTTCTTATTTCCACAGTTGGCTTTCTGTAGCATTTAATCATTCAGGTGCTTTGAAGGTGTGAGACCAGGGGTCACAGACTCAGAGGCCCATGAGAGACCAGGTGGGTGGCTTCCACGTGTACAACACTCGTATCTCCACTGAGAAAAAAGGACTCTTGCATCATTCTTGACGTGCGTGGCCTTCTGGTACCATATGGGTCGTTTTCCCACTTTGGTAGAGATACAGGCTCAAGACACATTCCCCCTGTCTGTTAATTTGAACATGGTGATTGATCCTTGGTCTCTGTGTCCGAGAGACGGGAGGAAGTAGAAGGGATTTTGATGCTTCCGAGGGGCCTGCCATCATCGGTCTCAGTTGTGGTTGCTGCGGAGTGCCCGGCGTTGCCAGATCTGACTCCAAGAGAAGCTCAGAGAGCTGGGTTTTTCTGTGAAAACTGCTATGTCTTACTCAGCTAATGTATGGTTTTCACAAATACTTGGATGGGTCAAGTACAACGTGTATGAGGATCACAGGAGTGCGGCCCCTGCTCTAGTTTTCGCACGTGCGGGAAGAGGAAAAGGCCCTGCCTTTGGTGACTGATGCCACCACAGCCTGAACCTGGGGACAAAGAAACACAGTGTCAAGCCTTGTTCCCTGCGCCCCCTTGGCCAGAAGAAACCTTCTGCTGAATTTGCTAGCACTGTCCCATCAGCCTGAAGGATGCGCTTGTAATTCTTACATAGAGATTTGGTCTCTGTGAGGTCCCTGTCTGTGTATCCGCTGTCTAGGTCAGATGTGCTCCGAGGTAGGTGCCTGGGGGAAGCAGTGGGACTGTTTTCTGGTGGGTTCAAGTGAGGCAGCCATGGACGGGGAGGGCAGTGGAAGGGCTGGGATGCATCACTTTGCCCAGGGTTGGATGGGAAACCAGTGTACTGACAACCAGGCTGGCTGTAGTGCTCTGGAGGATGGCTAGACTTATTTGGGGACAGTGGCTTTGGCCCCTTTATCACTGTAATCAGGGTTTGCAAACACACACGGCAGCATATGGATGCCGTCGGTCTATGAGGCCCACAGACACCTGCGAACATACGCAAATTCAGCAGAAGATTTCTTCTGGCCAAGGGGGGCGCAGGGAACAAAGCTCGACACTGTGTTTCTTTGTCCCCAGGTTCAGGCTGTGGTGGCATCAGTCACCAAAGGCAGGGCCTTTTCCTCTTCCTGAACGTGGGAAAACTGGAAACAGCTCTGCCCTACTGTGTTGAGAAATCCTCCTTAGGGTTTAAAATAATTATTTTTTTAACATTTATTCATTTTTGAGAGACCGAGAGAGAGTGCAAGTGGGGGAGGCAGAGAGAGAGAGAGAGAGAGACAGAATCTGAAGAGAGAAAGACAGAATCTGAAGCAGGCTTCAGTCTCTGAGCTGTCAGCACAGAGCCTGATGCAGGGCTCGAACTCATGAACCGTGAGATCATGACCTGAGCTGAAGGCGGACACTTAATCAGCTGAGCTGCCCAGGTGCCCCTCCTTAGGGTTTTTTATACATTAAAAACATGCTTTATCTAGGTAATATTTTTTTGTGAGATAGGTAAAAGCCCTTAGCCATTGATTTATGGCTTGGCTGGACAGACAGGAGCCTGGAGACATTAAGTGTCCTGTATGAGGTCACTCAGGTGGCTAAGGAGACCCGATCACACGCTCGCTGTGTGAAAGTGTTATGTTGCCTGCGTGGCCAACCTGTCTGTCCTTTAGCCCTCAAAGCCCCACATCTGGGAGCCTTCTGAGCCTGAGGTAAACCAGGAAGGCTAGTTAGCCCACGTCTGCCCAAACCTGGGTTCTCACTCTGAATACTTGGGTGTATCTTCCCAAGAAGCCATTGCACAGTTGAAGTGATAAACTCATCTGTAATGAAATGCATGATAAGATTCAATGGAAAAGAATGCAATGCTTGGAGATAATAAATAGGAGTGGTAGAGATTTCCTCTGTCTGCACACGGGCTACGTTGCAGACTTGGCAGCTGAAAGAGAGATGTTCTGATGTGAAAAGTTAACCCAAAAATAAATTAGGACTCAGAGCCTGAAGTCGGTGGTGCCAGAGTAGTAACAAGCCAGACTTTCTTCGAAGAATGCTGGAAACACGGTTTGTAAGGCCCCCGTCAGCAGGGCAGGAGGGATAGAGGCACCTAAGTGAGGGGCTGGGTGAGTGTGTTGGAGAACAGCCACGTCCTGCATATTCAGTATATAAAAAAGGGATGGATCTCAAAACTGAAATCCCACAAGGTTTGCTTTAAAACAGAAAAAAAAAAAAAAAAAGAATACTGTCCTGATGAACTTGTAGCAAGTTCCATGAAGAATGGAGCTGGGTGCTGTCTTTTTCTTTGAGAAGTCTGGTCGATGGAAGGAAACAATAGGTGTTGTTTCTGTTCATTCTTCTCACCCCTTTGTTTCTGCCCCGTCCTGACATGGTTTATGACGTACTCAGGTGCAACATAATTGGGAGAAGAACTCTCCAGAGATCGTGTCTGGCAGAAAAGCAGAATCCACCAGGGAAGGTTTCGGGAAGGGTAGGACTCTGAGCCCTTGTGCCCAGAGTAGTGTGACACGATCAGTGTCCCCCAGCATTGTCCGAGGAGCAGGGCGGGTACTTGCTAGCTCGGTCACAGGGCAGAACTTGGTAGCCCGTGGGGCTGGGGCCTTGCTGAGCTCTGGCTCCGAAATCAGCCCACCTGGGTTGGGATCCTGGCTCTGCCATTCGTTAGCAATCTGACCTTGAACCAAGTCATTAACCTTCTCTTGGTCTTTTCATCTGTCAATGAGATAGTGCTTGCTCCCCAAAGTGTGGTCTGTGGAGCAGCATCCAGGGGTATTGTCTTTAAAAAATAATTTTTTTAATGTTTATGTATTGCCAGAGAGACTGAGCATGAGTGGGGGAGGGGCAGAGAGAGAGGGAGACACAGAATCCGAAGCCGACTCCAGGCTCTGAACTGTCAGTAGAGTGCCCAATGCAGGGCTTGAACTCATGTGAGATCATGACCTGAGCCAAAGTCAGACGCTTAACCGACTGAGCCACCAAGGGGCCCCAGCCAGGGGTATTTTCTGGGAGCTGGTTAGAAAGGCAGCATCTCAGGTTTTCCTCCAGACCTCTTGAATCAGAGTCTGCCTTTGGACCTTTCTCTTGCTGGGTGATTTGTAGGCATATTACTGTTTGAGAAGCAAGTGGGGTATAGGACTCAGACCAGGGCCAGGTTTGGAGATGTTTTCTGTACATGTCAATCCTTCTTCCCTTCCTCCTTGTGACCCCTGTCCCTTCTGCCTCTTCCCTGCCTTGCTCTTCTGGTTTCTCGTTACTATTACACTGTTGTGAAGTACAGGGGAAGGGATTTAAAACCAGTCACGTGGAAGGAGTGTTTTTGTAGGTGAGACCGTGATCTGACTGGCTACTCCGGCAGGTTAGTGGCTCTTCCTGTTGTATTCTAGTCTTCATTATTTTTTTTAAAAATTTATTATTTTGAGAGAGAGACAATGTGTACAAGTTGGGGAGGGGCAGAGAGAGAGACAGAGACTCACAGTGCCGCTTGAACTCATGGACTGTGAGATCATGAGCTAAAGTCCTACACTTAGCGGACTGAGCCCCCCAGGGACCCCACGTTGTATTCTGTGCTTAAGGGAGCAGTGCCTTAGAGAAGTCAGAGGGGACCAATCAGTGTGGAAAGCTGTGCTTGGAGAAAGAACATGTCGTAGACCCACAAGATGAGTGTGTTTGCCCAGATTTGCCTGGAGATCCTAGTGCGCAGGGTACCACGTGGGGACAGGACTGCACCAGAATGTACCACTGGGGACGCAGTGTGGAGGCCAGGAGGCCTTCAGCTTTCTTGGTGTTACCTATGTGCTGACAGAGGCATTTTCTGTACCTTTCACTGGGGAGAGGGTAGGTAGCTGTGCACAGCCCTCAGCTTGGGCTTTGCTCTGTGGAGCTTAGTGTTTAGGTTAATGCAATAGAAATAAGAATTTTGAGGATGAGATTGAGGCACCTGCATGGCTCAGCCGGTTAGGCGTCCGACTTTGGCTCAGGTCACATCTCACGGTTTGTGAGTTGGAGCCCCGCATCAGGCTCTGTACTGACAGCTCAGAGCCTGGAGCCTTCTTTGAATTCTGTGTTTCCCTCTCTTTCTGTCCCTTTCCCACGCTCACTCTCTCTGTCTCTCAAAAATAAATAAACATTAAAAATTAAAAAAAGAAAGAATTATGAGGACAGGATAAAAAGATCGTGTTGGGATTGTTCAACCTGGAAAAGGAAAGGAAGTCCTTTACTAGAGCCTGGAAGTGTAGGATGGACCCTCACATACTTACTCTTAACTTCTAAGAAGTTTAAGTCCTAAAGAGATGGGGCTTGTTTGCAGGTGTGTATTAAGAAAGAGCTTTTTCGTAGTGAAGGCTGTTGTACTTCTGAGTATGACATGGCAAAGGTGTGGCTGAGAATCTTAGGAAGGACCTGTATTTTGTTAAAGTTGGTGTTTTATCCCTTCTCTTGCACTCCTTCTGTCCAGCCTGAAGATTAAGTGTATGCTCTTCCCCTTTAACAGAGCAACGTAAGTATGTAGAAGAGAACGTTCTCTTAGAAGGGTCCCTTACATTGTGGAAAGACAACTGGACCCGGGACTGGGGAACCCATTACGTTTGGTCACTTATAGCTGTTACGACCTTGGGCTGGTCATTAAGTTCTCTGAGTCTTAGTTTTTGTTATCTCTTAAATGGAGATAATTCTCCATTCACTCACTGATTCGTTCCTGTCATTCTCTTTTATTCATTTACGGGATCCATTCATTTACTTCGCTCTGTGGTATAATGATACTTACTAATTTGAGACATCTTTTCTGAGTACCTGTGATGTTCCAGGATTGCCGAGGCAGGCAAAGGTGAGGCTAACCCAACAGAATTTTTAAAGATGAGTCAAAATTTATATCGAAGAGTATCATGTACTGAAAAATGCTACCCTGGTAATGACTTATTATCACATGTGCTTCTGAGGAGGTAACTCCTAGAGGATTATCCATTTTGGGGATGTTGGAGCTGGAGGGGGCCGAGTTCCCTTTTTGAGAAGCCATTAGTTTACTACATGTGACATGGGAACCTAACAGGGAGTCTCAATGTCCGTTGTGGGCCAGGAGAATGAGAGTGAGAAAAAACCACTTTATCTTTTTACCCACTCAAATTATCTGTGACCTTCTCAACCTGCTGCATTTCTGAAGCTGTTTTTATGGCCGCCCCTTACCGCTTGGTAGTTAGGAGCACATGCTGTGTGAAAACATGAGTGTTCCTAATAGGGTTTCTTCCACGGGGGCCCAGATATTGGCACAGGCTCTATCTGTGCTCCTCTAACCTTGACATACATATAATATGAACACCCTGTGTGCGCTCTCCATTCCTTCACTGTTTCCATGGGTTATTGTTTGCAAACATTTGAATGCTTACATTGTGTGTAAAGGACGTGTCTTTGTAGATCTGGTGCCCAGCACAGTCCTTGCCTCCTGTGAAATCCTTGAAACGTGTTTGCTGTTGCATCAGCGGGTATTGGTGGCCATACCCTTTATGAGATTAGTCCAGTGCTTCCTGTCCTCGTTGGAATGCACCTGTCCTTTTTCTTGAGTGCTTACCCCAGTTCTCACTAAGTACTCTTAATATTGTGTTTATCAATCAGTCTTGTGTTTAATCCTCTGATTATGTTAATTTCACATTGCCTAGGTGGTAAGTGTAGATGCAAAGTACCTGACGGCTCCTCCTCTGCCATCCATGACCCCAGGTGTAAGGCTTTGGGGTTTCTGTCTTTGGAGGCAGGCAGCCTGGATCACAATTCCATGCTGCTACTTACTTTCTCTGTGACTTTGGCAGGGGGCTAATCAGGTAAGCCTCCGCTGCCTTATCCGGAAAGTGATTTTAATAATCATGTTTGCCACGCAGGGCTGTGGTAAGAGTATCCGAGGCCTTTCACGTGGAGAGGGTGGTATGGGACCTGGCACCTCATGAGCACAGAACGAATGACAGTCATTTATCACTGTGGTCACTGGGTAGCCAGAGACCCGGAAGCAGGGGAAGAATAAATACCGCTGGCATGCACCCGGCTCCTGTGGCTGGTTTCCGAGCTGTAGCATTAGCAAGTGTGAGCGCTGGGCCAGGGATCTGGTGCCTATGTATTTAACCTCTGTGCATATTTAATAACTCAGTGCTTTCTTTCTCATCTCTGGGGCTCCTCTGTGGAGGCCTGCGAGGGTTTTTTGCCTTTCATCTTCTGTGGTTCTGTAGGAACAGAACTTTCCAGCAGAGGGTTGAAGGATTAGATTACCTTTTGGGGACATTTCAACAGATGGCAAAACAAGTTCCCAGTCTCCCCGCCCCCGCCCTGCGGCCTCAAACAACCACATTCTGTCTGCCTCTAGATGTAATTTGTTAAACACTTAACCCAGCCGTGGGGAAGAGGTCAGCCTCGTCGCCATCCGCGAGCCTCTCCCTTCAGGGGCGTGTCTTGGCCACGGAAAGGAGCCTGTGTAGCGGTCATTCCCGTGCTGTCAACCTCCATGTGATCGAGGGGTGGACGGAGGGGTGCCCCCCTTCTCCTGTGCGCATCATCTCTTCACCTCTGTCGTTTCGTGACCCCACGTTCGGGATCCAGGGCGGGACATTCACAGGTGGTGGTCTTTTTGCTGCGTTTCTCACTAGCTCTCTCTCCTTCATCCTCTCCTCCTCCCTAATCCAGGTGTACGTGTCTTATGACTATGGAAAATCATTCAAGAAAATTTCTGAGAAATTGAACTTCGGTGTGGGAAACAGCAGCGAAGCCGTAATCGCCCAGTTCTACCACAGTCCGGCGGACAACAAGCGCGTAAGGAAGCCCTGTCCCGCCCGTGCCTGTCTTGACTTCCTGGGGCTGGATTCCATCCAGAACGACTGCTCTGCTAAAGAGGGGGAGGGGGTGCTGGGAGAAAGGCTTCCTCGTCATCTTTTCACAGCTTGGCACTGACTGTTTTTCTGCTAACCTGGGTGTCTGGCAGAACACGGCTGAACACGGCTGTCAGGATGGAACTGTGCATAACCAGGCAGGCCAGGTACCTGCAAGGCAGGCTTTCTAGACAGACAGCATCAGGCTCATGTGCAGAAAACCTGCCAACCAATGAGCTGCCCAGCCCACAGGTGGCAAACACATTCCCTGGGCTTCCTGGGACTTCCACCAGTGTGTGTGATCCAGGGCTTCCCATGTGCTTGCAAACCAGCTTGCTTTCATCGGCATCACCGGTGCCTGTGTGTGTGTGCATGCACGTGCACACCCGTGAGTGCGTGCTTATACCCCTCCCCCCAGGCTGCACCAATATAGGAAAGAAAACCAAGACAGCAGATTTGCTGTGCCTCCTGATTTGTTTTCCCAGCTGGCTGGCCTGGGGCTTTGTTTCTGCAGTAGAACCTGGGGGAAGACATTCGATTTGGAGCGAGCATTGATTTGAGATTGCCCTGGGTCCCAGAGCAGCGGGGAGGACAGGAATCAGGCAGCCTGCAAGGTTAGGGAGCTTTGGCTCAGAGCGTTGTAACTGATTGCTTTCTTCCGCACCCTGGTGAGCCCTAGCTCCCTTCCAGAGGTAAGACTGCTTCTAAGGATGCTCAGAAACCTCTGAGGTAAGGGTAGCTGCTATAGGGTCCTCCGGCCAGATTCCCCTGACCCACCCCCAGCACTGGCTTCTCCCATTGCCTGTGGTCTGTTAGCGGGGCCTGTTTTTCAAAATATTTAGCCACTGGCATGAACAGACCCAGTTTGGAGGGAACTGGATCCTGAAGTCTGCCCTGCTGGGCCAGGCATTAACCTTTTAGTTGCTGGATTGTGGACAGGCCCTGGGGAAGGGGCCAGGCCACGGATCCTTAGGTGGGACCTCTCCTGGGTTTCAAGAAGCAGCTATTTACTAGTGGGTATAGAAACAATTAAAAAAATTTTTTGATGTTTATTTTTTGGGGGGCGGTGGAGGAGCAGAGAAAGAGGGAGACACAGAATCCGAAGCAGGCTCTAGGCTCTGAGCTATCAGCACAGAGCCCGATGCAGGGCTCCAGCTTACAAACTGCGAGATCATGACCTGAGCTGAAGTCAGATGCTTTATTGATTGAGCCACCCAGGCGCCCCTAGGAACAATTTTTTCTTTAAAAACTAATACCGGTACATAGTGGTTCCTGTCCGCTCTGCCTAATAATCTTCAAGCAGAGCAGCTGTTAGGAGCAAACTCATCTCTTATCTAACGCCCTCTGCAATAAAAAGCAAGGAAGAGGTGTTGACAAGTTTGCCAGCCCTTTTTACTACACCTCCCCCTGCCCTTGGTCAGGTAGCCCTGTCCTCGGAGCTCCCACAGTTGGATGGGCCCCACTGCCCCCCTTGCTCTTGACCCCTGTGAGGCAAGGAACCCTGCCCCAGGGCCCAGCTTGCTGGCTGTGCCACATTGCCTGTAGAGTGATCTGTATGCCCCCTGCCTCTGAGAATCAAATAACTCTTAGATTACTCACTTTGTCAGGTTGTGCCTGTCTCTTATCATGATTTTTACATGTTGTCCCAGAGCTAACTCTCATTGCTTGTGGCCTATGGAAGCTTCCTTTTCGGCTCTCTCTTGCCCCCTCCTTACCTCCTGCTACACGGGCACAGATGTCTGCAAGTAGGGTCTGACTTCCTTCCTGCTTGTCATGAGTTGTGGCGAGCAGCCACCGGGCCCACATGCACATCTCAATAGTCAGAAGAGAGGAAGGACGATGTTTAGGGCTTGCGGAGATGGTTTGGTGTAGGGGGAGAGGAGCTTTTGAGCCTTTGGTCTGAAGAAGGAGCAGGGCAGGGGCCTGGGCATTGGGGCGAGCAGGAAGAAAGCCCCAGGGATGGTTGTCAAGGAGTCTGAGGTGCAGGGAGGGCAGGGCCTGCCCACAGCCTGGATGCCCCCCCTGCCTGGAAGGTGGTGCATCTTGGGTTTCTCAGGGGAGAGAGGGATGGGCTTTGGGGTTGGTGGGGAGATGGAACCTGGTGACAGGTGGAGGCGGGGCCGGGAGCAGACTGAGTGGGTCAGAGGAACAACAGCACTCTCTGCTGAGTTTCTGGTTCCCCAGAGAAGCTGTTTACCCCTCCGCAGACTTCTCAGAAAGGAAACAGTGACTTTCGTTGTGCCCGTTACTTCTGTTACTTTTGCCTTTGTCCCTGGGAAGGCAGATTACTCCACCAGACCTACCACTTCCTGAGAAAAATCACACAGGCTGTGGGTGTCTTGCTGTCAAGACGCGGGTGCGGGGCCCAGGCACATCCCGTGTGTGATGATGTTAGGGTGCTGTCAAGGAGTGTGGTTTGAAAAGGTTGAAATGACCGTTAGCAGCTGCCTGGAAAGGGGACGATGTCACACAAGGGCCATGTGAAAGTCGGGGGGGGGGGTGTGCCCGTGAAGGGGGGGAGGAGGTGCTGGGTAAGCAGGCAGCTGTGGGCCAGTGGTTTCACTTCGTGATGGAGATGGAGTGGCATGGGGTCATGTGAGTGTTTGGGTCTATTTTCGTACCTGCCGACAGCCCCACTTCCTTCTTCTCAGCCTCGTGTGATGCCTCCCTGAAGCAGTGCACAGCCCTGGCCACCTGGCAGTGCCGCTGCCCTCCCAGTGCACCTGAGGTCAGCTACGCAGTGTCTGCATACACCTGGGGCTCCGTGCAGCTAGGCTTTCCCCTCGTTCTCTGTCTCTCTTTCTCGTCTGAAGTTACGTTCCTTCGCTGCCTCCCATGCCCTTCATCCTGGCTTTGCGGTCCGGGTGCCTCCCCTCAGAACTGGAGAGAATCACTTGTGCTAACATGGAGGTGAATTCTGTAGCTTTTTGTTTTTTTTTTAAATGTTTTATTTATTTCTAGGAGAGAGAGACAGCGTGAGCAGGGGAGGGTCAGAAGAGAGAGGGAGTCACAGACTGAAACAGGCTCCAGGCTCTGAGCTGGCAGTCAGCACAGAGCCCGACGTGGGGCTCGAACCCACGAACCGCGAGATCATGACCTAAGCGAAAGTTGGAAAGTCGGACGCTTAACCGACTAAGCCACCCAGGCGCCCCAATTCTGTAGCTTTTTTAAAGTTTATTTATTTTGAGAGAGAGAGAGAGCAGGGGAGGGTCAGAGAGAGAGGGAGAGAGAGATTCTCAAGGCATTGTCTGCAAGGAACCTGATGCAGGGCTTGAACTCACAAACCTTCAGATCATGACCTGAGCCAAAATTAAAGAGTCGGACATTTAACCAACTGAGCCACCAGGCACCTCTTCTATAGTTTATGTTTCTAGATGTATTTGTATTTTAAAGAGGAAACACAAGAGTTTTTTTTTTTTCTTAATACATTTTAAAAACAGTTTATTTATTTATTTATTTAGAAGGGGAAGGGCAGAGACAGAGAATCCCAAGCAGACTCTGTGCTGTTAGTGAGGAGCCTGATGCGGGGCTTGAACTCATGAACCATGAGATCACAACCCGAGCCGATATCAGGAGTCAGATGCTTAACTGACTGAACCACCCAAGCAGCCCTTCTGTAGCTGACTTCATGTTTCTGGACTATTTGTATTTTAAAGAGAAAACATAGGTGTTTTTTCAATACATTAAAGAAAAAAGTTTACTTATTTTGAAAGAGGAGAGGCAGAGAGAAAAAGAGAGAATGAGAATGAATCTCAAGCAGGCTCCACACTTGTCAGTGTTGAGTCTGACACGGGGCTCGAACTCACAAACCATGAGACCATGACCTGAGCCCAAATCAGGAGTTGGGCAATTAACCCCCCAAATCACCCAGGTGCCCCATGAGGAAACATAGTTTTAAGCCGAGAGCTGAATATTCGGTGGCTGCAGACAGGGTAGGGAAGATGGGGGTGTATGAGAACACTCCAGAAGTCACACCATCGAGGAAGCACCCAGGAGGTCAGCTCTGCTGGCAGGTCTGTGGGGCTCACCTCGGGCTGACTTGACAGCCAGGGGACTAACGGTGGAGTAGGACGTGCTGCATTTGCTGTCACATGCACACACGGCACAGTTCTGTAACAGCGTGAAGTGACATGTGCCTGCATGATGAGTGGAACCCACAGGTGTCCGGGGCTGGGGAGTCAGCGAGGCTGGGGAGTCAGCGAGGCTGGGGAGTCAGCGAGGCTGGGGAGTCAGCGAGGCTGGGTCAGGGAAGGAAAGGCCTCACGGGGCACTTGGGATTGGACATGGAGCTTCAAGGACAGGCAGGATTCCAGTAGCTGCGTGGAGTCGGTGGGAGTCCAGGGCGGGGAGCAGGCCATGGGCAGAGACTTCAAGGAGGTTGTATATGCGGTTTCTGTGCGGGCCATGGGGAGACTCACTTCTCAGGGGTGAAGCGTTTGCACCGAGGTGCTTCGAGGTCTCAAGAAGGCACTCATCTGAAGATGATGTTTGCTTTTTGCCCTGAGGACAGTAGGGATCCACGGAAGGTCCTGAATAGTGGAGCTTAGTGAAGTGTCTTTTAGGGAAATGTGTGTCCCAGCGATATGCAGGATGGATTCGAAGGGGAAAGATCAGAGAGAGGCCAGGAAGGGAACCGTCATGGGGATACAGGCGTGAAGTTGCCCAGTTGCCCAGCCAGACCTCGAATCCCCCTCTGAGCTTTCACCCCTGCCATGCCCTGGAAGGCATGAGAAGGACCAAAACCCAGTGCCCAGCACCAGCTTGCCCGTGGGCCACGCTGGCAGCCCTGGGGTTATAAAAGAGAGCAGAGAGTGTAGAAAGGAAAACAGAGCGGGGTGGGTGGCCGATTGGGAGTGGGGACCGAGGGAAGGCAGCAGAGCGACACCCGTTATTATGAGAACTCGGGCCAGGGGGAGGAGTAGCTTGGGACGTGATGGGAAGGTGTGGGAGGGCTGGGTTTTGGACCTAGTGAGACACCTCGGCGCATCAGAGGGGAGATGCCAGGGAGGTCAGCAGTCAGGGTGAGACCGTGGAATAAAAGCCCTGGCATGTCTGATCTTGGCAGCCGTAGCAGGAGGTGTGTGGAGGGTGGAGTGAGTTGGCAGCAGAGGACGAAGAGCAGCAAGGTGACTTGAGGGCGGAGAGCCGACCTCTGTCTGAAGGGGCCAGAGGAGGGGAGTCGAGGGCGGGGCCGCCAGGGGAAGGGCATGCAGGCTTGGCATGATTCAGTGTTGCCACAGGGCAAGGGAAGCGAGCTGCCGACAAAAGCGTCCGGAGTGCAGTAAGAGAAGAGGCGCAGGAATGAGCCTGGGGGCTCCGTGTGCGACCTTGGCATTAAACTCAGGAAGTGCTGCCTGTTTTGGAGCAGGAGAGGAAGGGATTGGTGGACTGTTGAGGGACAGGCTGTGAACCACGCAGACATTGAGGTACATGCCGCCTCCTGGGTCATGTTGGCCAGTGAACTTCTCCATGCGTCAGTGTCCTCATTAGTAAAGGAGGTAACACCGATAGCTAAATCCTGACTTGCTGTGAGTACCAGAAAGATGGAATCTGAGGAGACCTGCACAAGTTTGCAGCTCAGTGTTCAGCACACGCTGAGTGCTCTTGACACCTTTGTTTTTTTTTTTTTTTAAAGTAAACTTTGTGCCCAGCGTGGGGCTCAAACTCCTGGCCCTGAGATCAAGAATTGCACACTCCGCCATCTGAACCAGCCAGGCATCCCTGTTCTTGACCTTAATAATTTAGTATTATGAAAGATAATAAGTTCTTCAACTGGGTATGTGATTTTTAGATATTGTGGCACTTGGAGAAGCCATGGAACAGATTTCTAGAGAAATCTTTTTATTTATTTTTATTTTATTTTTTTAAAGTTTATTTTTGAGAGAAACAGAGATAACGTGAGCAGAGGAGGGGCAGAGAGCAAGGGAGAAAGAGAGAGAATCCCAAGCAGGTTCAGTGACGTCAGTGCAGAGCTTGATGCGGTTCGAACTCACAAAAGCATGAGATTATGATCTAAGCTGAAGCCAGGAATCGGACTAAGCCACCAACTGAGCCACCCAGGTGCCCCAGAAATCTTTTTAAATCAAGAACACTCCCTTCCTTAAGAACCAAAATGGTTTCGGAGCAGGAACATGGGCTCTGTTATTTCTAGGGAACGCCTTTGTGCCAGAAATTATGACAATACTCCTAGGATCATGATTGTTTTTACAACATTGCATTTGCTTATGGTGCTTTTTGCTTTCAAAACATTTACTAGCCTTTACGGTTAGATTTAATTAGGCTCTGCAGACTTTGGAGTTTTACTTTAGATGCTGTAGAGGAAACCGAGAAAGAACACGTAGAATGCGTTCCTGGGAATTGGGGAGGGAAGAGCCAAAGGGAAAGGATCAAGAACATGTGAAAGCAGCATACGCACAAATGCAGGAGGTCAGGACGTGCCTGAGCTGTTAGTGCCAAAAGGATTCTGAATAGAAGATTGATCTGGGTCAGATGCAGTCAGTGAGGGGAATGTGTGCTTGGACGGATTCCTTTAGGTTGTTGGTTTCAGGGACTGGCTGGCACCGGGAGCCGCGTCCCTCCTGCTCTGGTTCACGGTGATCCGCTGAGCTGCCCTTGCCCTTGTGGGAGCAGAGGGGCTTTCCTTCAGATCTCTCATGTGCGTTCAAGGCCTGCCACCATCTGCACTTCATGATCCTTGCCCTCAGGCCCTCAGTCCTTGCTGTCTTTTTTTTCCCCCACCTGCCTTCGTTCCCAAACTCAAACCGCCCCAGATGAGGGCTGCTTTTTCCTTATTGAAATCTCGCCTGCCTTTACAAGGGCCAGCTCTGGCCCGGAGTCCTGTCTCATCTCCCAGACTGGAGCTAATCTGTGCTCTCTGCCCCTCATAGGTCTCTGTCCATGGCTTCCCATCAAATCTCATTTCCGCTCGAGTTACAGTTACCCATGATCACGTCTGTCTTTCTCCCACTTTGGACTGTAAGGGTTCTGTGTTTTCACCATGGCATTGCGGCATCTGGTGCAGGGTGAACATTAAACACACATTTGTCAGGTTGAATTGCCTTAATTCTTTCCCCTCAAAAATTCTCTTTTTTTTCTTTTTAAAGTTTATTTATTTTGAGAGAGAGTGAGTGCAAGTGGGTAAGGGGCAGAGGGAGAGAGACAGAGAGAAAATTCTAAGCAGGCTCTGCACCGCCAGTGCAGAACCCAATGCGGGGCTCGAACTCATGAACCGTGAGATCAAGACCTGAGCTGAAGTTGGACACTCAGCTGACTGAGTCACCCAGGCGCCCCTCCCCCTCAGGAACTCTGTAGTCCAGCTTGTTCGGCGCCACTCGCCTGTGTGGGGGCTAAATAGGGTGCAGCCCCTGCTCTCCAGAGCTGCTTTCCTGCCTCACCCCACAGTGGGCCTGCTGGCCCCACTGGCTGCGTGGTCCTCAGAGCTGCCCTGTCACCTGGCCTCAAGAAGGAGAAGCTAATCTTCTTAGATGGGTGTGACTTTAGGGATTTTCCTGGGAAGTCGTGTCCCGTAGCTGCTCAGAGGATAGAGGGACAGAAGGAGTCCTGTCTGTGTACAGCCAGTCTGGAGAGCAGGACTTCTCTGTCCCGGCCAGTAGTCACCCTCTGACTGTGACCCACTGACTTGCCAGAAGGGGGAGAATGGCCAAGTCAGCTGAGAGAAAAGACAGGAAGGCCTGACTAGCACTGTTACCTGGTTAAAGGAGGGCCGTCTTCAGCTCTGTCCCAACTGTCCCGCACCCCCCCCTTCCTTGAGTCATGTGTGGCAAGCACCGGCATCTGGCCAGGGGATGGTAAGGACACCGTGTGGAGGCCCCACAGGCCCCTGGCACCACACGCGCGGTGGGAAGTGGGGCTGCGGGTGGCCCCAGCCAGGTCTGCTCTGACATTGCCCTTTTTTTTTTTTTTTTTTTATTTTCCCCTCTTGCAGTACATCTTCGTGGATGCTTATGCCCAGTACCTCTGGATCACATTTGACTTCTGCAACACCATTCAAGGCTTCGCCATCCCATTCCGGGCAGCTGACCTCCTCCTGCATAGCAAGGCCTCCAACCTTCTCCTGGGCTTTGACAGATCTCACCCCAACAAGCAGGTAAGGGAGTTTCTGGAACACAGTCAGGTGGGCTTCTCGAATTTTCTGTTCTGCCCCATGTGGCTTGGGTGTCCTCTGAGTGACCTCCCCCGGCCCCTCCCTCACTCCCTCCTCTCCCAAGCTTAGCCTTTGGAGCTACTATTTCACTTCCCATGGCTAAGGAAAACTAGATCTCCCTGGCGCTCTCAGAATGCATCCCAGCCAGGGGTGCGACGCCAAGCACTTGGCAAACCCTGTTAAACATTGTGCCTTTCTCAGGGTAGATGCACCCTTGTGGGTTTTGGGGGTAAACCGAAGCTCTAGAAATTAACCAGAGAGAGCCAGCTAAAGAAGTCTGGAGTCTGAGCTCTGCTGGGAACTCTTAATGAATTTCTGTTCTACCTTTCCCATCTTCGACTGTAAACACACTGATTTTGTACCATTTATTTGAAATTACCATCATATTTTAATTTTTCCCCCTTAGTGTGTGTGCGTGTGCATAGAATATAAATGGGTGTGTGTTTTCGCCTTAAATCTGGATTTGAAGGAAAAGCAGGATGGGGAGAGAACCCCTGTAGGATTTATAGCTCAGGGTTGAAACTTGCCAAATCGAGAGGAATGGTCTGGTATAATTGTGTGAAGCCTGTAGACCCTGTAGGTTTGGATTAATGATGAGTTTTGAATGGCTTTGCTCAGAGGAACCTTGGAAGCTTTCTCTTTCTTTGCCGGTTGTTTAACCAAAACATGATCTGTTTACCCTTACTTGCCTTTGGGAGTAACCTAAGTAAGGCAGGGTCAGTTTACCAGTGTAGGTGGATTATTGTTTTCTTTGTGGTTCCCTGCTGCTGCTGCTTCTTTTTTAAAGTTTATTTCTTTATTCTGAGAAAGAGAGAGAGAATCCCAAGCAGGTTTTGCTCTGCCGGCACAATCTGTGAGATCACGGCCAGAGATGAGATCAAGAGTCAGATGCATTGCCGACTGAGCCACCCGGGCCCACCTGCTTCTTCATAATCCATGGTCACGAGGGCCAGAAGCTCTTAGGTCCTCTGTTTGGAAGTTCAGGGGTTTGGGCAAAGATCAGCAAGTTAATTACTCATGGCCATATCCTTTGTATTCAAGGTGATTCTCTTTGGTGCCCTTCCTCTCTGTTCACCTTTAGTCACTGTGACCCCTAATGGGATTTTGTTTTTGTTTTTGTTTTTTATTTCTAGAAGAGAGAGAGAGACAGCGTGAGCAGGGGAGGGTCAGAGAGAGAGGGAGACACAGACTCCGAAATAGGCTCCAGGCTCTGAGCTGGCAGTCAGCACAGAGCCCGGCGCGGGGCTCGAACCCACAAACCGCGAGATCATGACCTAAGCGAAAGTCGGACGCTTAACCGACTAAGCCACCCAAGCACCCCGACCCCTAATGGGTTTTTAAGGACACTACTTCCTAAGCAAGAAGAATGGAGTGTAATCCTTTTGTTTTTACTATCCCTGAGGACTAGCCTTAAGTAAACTAATTTCTGGTAATCCGTAGATGGAAGACAAGTCCCAGTCATTTTTTTCTTGTAGTTCTTGAGGTCTTAGTAACTATGGGGAGGAACATGAAGGTGCACATCTGACCTTTCCTCCCTGCCCTCGTTTGCATCTGGAGTAATCGGGCTGGCCTTGGTGACCTCTGTGCCTGTCTTCACAGCCGGCGCATTATTGCAGGCGAGGTTTGAGGGCCAGGCCGTTTAGGTGGTGGGTACCTCTTACATCCCGATTCCTTCTTGCCCTTTTGGTCTTTACAGCTGTGGAAGTCGGACGATTTTGGGCAGACCTGGGTCCTGATTCAGGAACACGTGAAATCCTTTTCTTGGTAAGTCATCCATCTAACAAGGTAGAATTACATAATCCCCTTTATTCAGTTCTACCACCTCCACGGAGGACACACCTACCCTCACCTGAAACGCAAAGCTTGTGGTTCAGGAAATGCAGACCTGGGATTTAGAGCTACCAGTATAACACTCACTGTGGGAGGGGTGGGGGTGGGGGTGGGGGGATGAGAAAGGCAGGTTATTTGTGAAAGAATTGACAGAGTTTTTGCATTTTTCAATCCATCGGGGACCCAGAGGAATTATCAAGTGCTTGGATGGATTAGAATTTCTAAAGACCTTGCCTCTTTGAGCCTGATAACAGAAGTGGGGATTTTTCTCTATAGAAAATTCATTCACTTGTTCATTCATAACTTTTTTTTTTTTTTTTATGTCTGCTGAATATAAAACATGCTAGATACTGTAGGGTAGAAGTTGAATAATTTATGGATAGAGTTACTAAGGAGACAGCAGCCTAGGAGGTAAGAAAAGACATTTTGTGCATGTTGTGAAGGAAGCACAGAATTCATGGACGTGGGAAGATAAACCAGAGGAGGGACACGGTTCTTTCCAGATGGGAAGGTCACGGTCGCATGGAAGAGCTTCCTTGCAGTTGAGGCAGGACGTGTGTAGCAGGCTGGAGGTCACAGGTGGGGTGTGGAGGTGTGTGGCGTGATTCCAGGCAGAACAGAATGGCCCCAGGCAGAGATGAGACACTGTGGTCTTTGGGTGGAGAACATAGAGTCTTACTTTGGGACAGTGTGTGCGTGAAGTTTGGGGAAGGGACGTTGCTATCTGAATCCGCAGTGCTTAGAAAAGGACTCCGGGCTGAATTCTGAAAGTGAGGACCCATTGTAGGGTTTTGAGAAGGGAGAGAGAAATCAACAGAGCCACACTTCAAGAAGTTTCTAGTCAATCTTCTGATCTTTCACGGTTCCAGGATGCAGTCTTGAATACATGGATTTGGGCACGTGTGGGCGAATGTGCAGAACAGGTTCCCTAAAAGGGACATGCTGGGTCAGTGGGTCACGCCACCTGTTCAAACTTTGCTTCTTCCCAGATTGATACTTGACCTTCACTGCCCCCAGTCAGTTGTCCCTGTAATCTTCCTCATTTCACTTTCTAGTTGTATGGGGCAAGAACTCTGAGTCATCACTGATTTCATATTTGTTTCGTGCCTCACATTCCACCTGTCAGGAAGTCCTGTGGTCTCTACCTTTGGTTTATATCCAGGATCTCCTTTGTGGCTATTTCTTTACTCCAAGCCACCATTGTCACTCATTAGTTGTGTTCCTGGTCTTTCTGCTGCCACTCCTGTCCTGTCCTTCTGCAGTTAATTCTCAGCACATGGCCTGGTTGGTCTTCCTAAAAACAGATCTGATCTTGTTGTTTCTTCTCTCCATGTTGAACCTTTTAATACGCACCAACATTTCTCTCAGATTAATACCAAGTATATTCTACCACAGGGCCTTTGTACTTACTTTTCCCTCTGCCTAGACAGCTCTTCTTCAAGATATACTTATTGCTTACTCCCTTACCTCATTCAGGTCTGTTCAAACAATACTTTCTAAATGAGGCCCATCCTAAGGATCCTATTAAAATTGCAACTCCTCTCCTGTCATTGTCTTACCTTACTCTATTCTTTTCTTGCATATGATTGACCACCTTCTAATGTATGATTTTTAGTCTTATGTTATTTGTCTTTCTCTCTTTGATATAAGAAAATCTCCACACGAGCAGAGGCTTTGGTCCGTTTTGTGCACTGATATATCCCCAGTGAATAAAGCGTTGAAATTGTAACTTTGGTAGAGATTGCCAGATCTTCTATAGAGCGTATCAAATTTTGCTCTCATCTCAGCCACATAGAATGGAGCCTCTCTCCACAGCCAGTGTGTTAGGTAAGACAGACTTACTCTTAGTTTGCATTTTGTTTATTGTGAATGAGTTTGAACATCTTTTAACCTGGTCAAGAGTCATTTTTATTTCTTTTTTTTTATGGCTTGTCTGTTCATGCCCTTTGCTCTTTTTCTATTGAATGGTTAGTCTTTTTATTGATTTCCAGGAGCTCTTTATATATTTGAGGTTAGTCTTTTGTGACATGAGATATCACACGTGTATGTTCATTTATACTTACAATCCTCAGTTTATCATTTGTCTTTTGACTTTTGCAGGTAGTTTTAGTCCTCACTAAACGCAGAGTAGTACATCCCCCATGCGTACTTCTTTTAGCTCTCTGTTTGAAGAAGAACGTCTTGGAGTTGGTATTGCTTCCTTGGCGAATGAAGTCAGTAAAGATGGAAGGAGAGGTGTCCTGGCTGAGTATCTTCAGGCTCCATTGGATTTCCTTTTCAAAGAGGGCAGCTGTTTCTGGTGCTTTCGTTATTCTCCTTGGGCAGAGGTTGTGGTGTCTCTGTGAACTTGTAACCACAGTCTTATCCAAGGTTAACCTCTACCCCAGAAATACCACTAGAACTTTCTTTTGCTTTATTCGAGTTTTAAAAGGGACACATTGCCCTTTGATCTGTTTAGGTAACTGTATATCAAGAGGGCAAACCCGCAGGACGGCTAAATAAAGGAATATCACGCTTGAGAATTTGTATGTTGTACCTTTTGCCTCCGTGTAGGCATGCAGATGTCTTAGGGGGAAAGGACCGGCTTATCTTATTGTAGATAATTACATGTCTGGTGTCAGGGAATTTCAGGCTATTTGGAGGATTTCCCATAATAAGTGAGAGCGTAATTGTAATCTAACCTCCCTAGAATAATGGCATACATTTGTTCATTAACGCCTGGCATCCTGGGAGCAGCAGGAGTCAGGATGACCAATGATCTATGTAATCCAGAGCTGGGGATTGGCAAGACAGGGCAGTGGGTGGGCTGTGGGAGAGGGACTTGGGTTCCTGGTAAAGCATCAGTAATGAGTGAGTGAGGCCAGGTGACTGTGCTCAGAGATGGAGCAAGCCTCTGAATTTTCATTTGAATGAATGAGAGCAAAGAGAACAAGAAGTAGTGGAAGGCTAGCAATCGCAAAGGAGCCAAAGGAACAGAGCTCGGAGCTCGTAGGTAGAGTGGCTTTCAGAACCGGGAGGTCCAAGTATGGATTATGGAAGAGAACTGGGAAGAAAGTCAGAGCGCTTTCTATCTCTAGATACTTCTTGCTGCTTTTGTTTAGGAAAGAATAACAGAGGTGAGCTCGGTCTCAAAATAATCTGAGTCAAGGTCCCTTCCTCTCTGCCTTTTTAAAAATATCTAGCAGCTTTGTTTTAATTTGCATATCCTCTAGGGTAGAGGAAGTACTCTAATCAGTACTTCTAATTGTGGAAAAGAAAAGAACACGCCAACCACCCCCACACATGCGCACAGAGCAGAGCATCTGATGATCCTGCATTAGGACCCAGGCTTCTGGCTTCTCCAGTGCCCTGCTGAGACTCTGGATTGTGGGGCCAAAGTCAAGTCTTTTGTTTTTCTCTTTCATATCTCCTCCTTCCTCCCTTCCACCCTCTCCTTTCTTTCTTGGAGAGTATCCTCTTGACAGTACCTCTTTGAAGGACTTCTATGTCAGAGACTTCATGATCCTGAGAGCCATTGTGAATGTGGCTCTGGGCAGAGACAGGTACAGAAGCGAGTCCTGCCTTCCCTTGGTCACTACCACGTCCTCCCTGTGAAGCTCTCCTCCTCACTTGTCCAGTTATTTACCCCACGTGTTGAATGGTCTGGTGTATCAGAAGTGTTAGGGAACCTGGGGCAGATTAATCCTCTTCCCAGCTGTTGTTTGGGGACCTTATTTTGGGGGGACCCTGGTTCAGAGATTCGTCTCGGGGGAGTTTGATCTAGCCAGGGTTAAACTTTTGGAATAGCCTTTGTACCATGGTCCACGGGTTCAATGCAGCAAGGTTCAGCCCCGCTGGGAGCCCCGCAGGACAAAAAGAAGTCTAAGACGTGGCCTTTAAAGTACCTATAGTCTCTCTCTAGGAGGCTCAGACACATTATGGTGAACAAAAGATTACAGTGAATGAAAGGCACCGCTGTGAATAAGATGTACCACTCTATCAAGTCACGAGAGTGATTCCAAAATCCACCCACCCAGAACAGCTCTGTACTTTTGTTCAAAACTCACGTAAAATTCATATCAAAGGCTTGAAATTGAACACTGCACAGATATATTGCCTGTGACGGAAGAAGAGAGGAGCGCTTTGGGGAGGGCTTCCTGAAAGAGATGCCTTGAACTTGACCTCAGAAGATGAGTGGGATTTCGAAGTGCAGACCAGAGTGCACACAGGGGGCATCCCTGCAGAAGGGTAATCTGTTGACAGAGCACGGAGAGTGGGGGAGCAATGAGTTCTGTGTTTCTGAGGGACGTCAGGGAGATCAGTACGTGTGAGAGAGAGGTTGTGAAGGAGCCTCATGGGTCATGACTTTGCACTGGTTGGATGATTCCTGATTGCATGGATTGGAGATAGCAGCACAGGATGGACAGAAACACAAAGGGCAGGGTCCGTTAGCAAGGCTAGACTCAGTGGTTCCTCATGTGGTTTCTTCTAGAACTGTTCTGAGTAAGTACTGTTCTGGGGAAACACACTCCTTTGTTCTCTGGGGTTTGTAACTTGGGGCCAGAAACTCATGGACAGCCTCAAGCAGTCCATTGCTTATTGATTCCGAAACACCCCGCCTTTTACTTTTTCTTGATTTTACTCTTCTCAAGCCATGGCCAAGGCATGCCTGGAGCCAAGCCCAGGGCGCCTTAAAGAGAGCAGTAAAAAACTTGACGAGAGTATCCTGTGCAGACACCATCTTCATGTCCTTGAACTCAGGTTGGCTGTCTGCACAGCAGAACCTCCATTTCTTCAGTGGTTAAACGTGGAGATGATAGCAACTGCACTTTTTCCTCCAGGGGCGTCGATCCCTATGATAAGCCGAACACCATCTACATCGAGCGGCACGAGCCCTCTGGCTACTCCACAGTTTTCCGAAGTACAGACTTCTTCCAGTCCCGGGAGAACCAGGAAGTGATTCTGGAGGAAGTCAGAGACTTTCAGCTCCGGGACAAGTACTTGTTTGCTACCAAGGTGGTGGTAAGTTGAAGGCACTAAGGAATAAAGTCCTTTTGAGTTTCCTTTCTGAGGTTTGGCATTCTGTGAGTGAGCAGGTGAGTTTACGCAAGCAGGGACTGGATTGGGGTGCCTGGGGGAGCCTGACGGAGGGGCACTGGACGTAGATGAACATTCCCATGGGGCTTGGATGGTCCCAGGAGGTTGGAGGAGGTGGAGATGCTTAGACAAACACTCAACGTGTCTGTGGGGCCTCGGAATTTGTTTGTTTCCTGGTAGCCAAGCCTCCTTGTTAAACATGTGTTTCTTTGATGGGACACCTGGGTGGCTCAGTCGTTTAAGAGTACAACTTCAGCCCAGGTCATGATCTCACAGTTCATGAGTTCGAGCTCTGCGTTGGGCTCTGTGCTGACAGCTTGGAGGCTGGAGCCTGCTTTGGATTCTGTGTCTCCCCCTCTCTCTCTCTACCCCTCCCATGTTTACGTACTCTCTCTCTCTCTCAAAAATAAATAAACATTTAAAAAATTAAAAAAAAAATCCAAACACAAAATCCAAAAAAAATCCCAGTGAAAAGAGCACAGAAAGGACAGGTGGGGCTCAGTGATGATTTTCCTTCATCTCACTGCCTGCTCTCCTTTCATATTAGGACAATGTCTTAGGGAATTTTGGACACATGTTAATTTCCGTGGCTAATAGAATGTGTAGTCACTGGCTAGTGGGAGTTAATGCTTGAAGAAAAGCAGTGATTAAGCTTCCAGCTATCAGTAAGTAGCTTAACTCTCAGCCTTTGGGAAAATGGTCCCCTTGATTTGATGTGTTGGATGGAGCCAGATGCTGGAAGGGAGGGCTTGCTCATTTAAAGGCAGAGTTGATTATTTAACAGAGTTTGCTTTGCTACTGTATCAAGTTGCCAGTTGCAACTGTACTGCCCTTGCATAAAGGAAAAACCCGTCCTGCAGAGAGTGGGCTGGGCTGCTCTTCCTGATGTGCCAGAAGCTTATTTTCTCGATGGCAGCCATTCCTTCCTTGACATCGGGCTCTGAAGAAGGTCCCTGGTAATAGGCAGGTGCTTCCCTTTCCATCACACTTAACCTTAGGGACTAAGATCGGATGTAATATTTTCCTCCGGGTTTTCTCTCCTTTGTATGATTGGTAGCTGGCCAGGCAGAAGCAGGCCACCCCACCTTGGGAGGACTCCAGAGTAGAGAGAGGACTTCCCCAGTTAGGGAAGCAGAGAGTAAAGGTTGAGGTGAGAGAAGATGTGGGTGGCTAAAGCCAAGAAAAATTCCTCCTTACCTACTTGGCAAAATATTTTTATTTATTTATTTTTTAACACTTATTTATTTTTTGAGGGACAGAGAGAGGGAGACACAGAATCCAAAGCAGGCTCCAGGCTCGATGCAGGGCTTGAACTCATGAATCGTGAGATCATGACCTGTGCTGAAGTCGGACGCTTAACCGACTGAGCCACCCGGGTGCCCCTGTAAAACCACTAAAATTATGGCAGTTTCTCTTTTGTCAGTCTGTTTGCATTGGGTCACCTGCTGGATCCTTCCTTCCCTGCCTTGCCTGTCACTTTCTCTCTCACACACACAGTGGCCAGTAGGCAGGCATCCTTAGATTGTCCTGGGCAGGGGTGTGGTGAGGGGTGAGAAATGCAGTGCAAGGTGAGAAACCAGGCCTGAGAACTGATACCTTGTGACAGGCTCTTGGCACTCCTAAGGTCCTGGATTGTTTGCAGTCTTTCAGTGTTCCTGGATCTTTCCTGTGTGAGTTCCTTGGGCCTGAATTTATTTATATGACTTTAATTTCTTTTTATTGCCTGAGTTGGGGCTGAGGTGGAGAGCTGCTGTACATCACTCTCACCCCTGTTATTTCTGGATCTCACACCCAAAGAGCTGAAGTTAAATCCCAGCTGAAGTTTCTGTGCCTTTCGTTCGGACCTAACAGCTATGTCTGTTCTCCCTTGACATTGCTGCTTTGCAGAGTGCTGGCAGCAAGTTGATTGCTAGTCCTGGCCAGTGCCTGGATGGGAGGCTGTGTCTGTTTTGTTCATCACTGATGTAGTACCCAGCAGGCTGCATGGTGCTTGATCCATAGCATGTATACAATAGTTGAATGAACGCCATATTTGCCTGCCATATTTAGAAAGCATAGACCAGTAGATTTGTTTGGTGGGGTAGGGGTGTTAAATGATTGGTATTTTCATAGTCAACTCTCAACTCTCTGCATGGCTTGTTGGATGGGCCACCAGATTCCAGGGTCAGTGGTGTTAGCTAGAGGCTCAAGGTCAAAGTCAGATGAGGTCGGCCAGCACATGGAAATGTTTCTCAGATGATGGCCTTAGGAGCATGCACAGCACTGTCACACAGGGACACTTTTTCCAAATGCAGATTCCCAGCCCTGATGCAGTATTTTCTGAGCATCCCTAGGCTGCCAAAGAACCTCCAAAATTTGAGCAGCTCTTCTCTGAGGACTTCTGTCTGCAGACGCTTTCAATAATAGTCCATCCTGTTATCAGAGGAACATTGTAGATTGGATGGGTTGATGAAGGAAGAAACACAACTGGCGGTGGATGATAAAATGAGTGTTTTCCTCCTTATAATTTCTTCCTCTTTATTACATTAGACTGTTGAGCCACGAGGGTAAACAACATTGGACTTGGTTGGATAACCGTATCAGTGGGAGTGTTGAGGTGTGCCAGTGTTAACTTCTTATCTGGGGTGTGCTTAGCGCTCAGGCTGCCTGGGTTTGGGGAATTCTGAGTGACCTTCATATTAAATTGATTCAATCAAATTAGGAAAGTCAAGGAGCTAATTGGAAAACCACAGAAAATTGGTTTTGGATGATTAACTCTTTTGCTTTTCTCCAGTACCATGAATGATTACAATTCTTTGCAAGTTAGCTTTTTAGAACATGCGGGGACAGCCATCTGGATTCGTGACGGAAGCCGCTCTCTGAATCTTCAGCATCCCCTGGCGCCCTGTTGGCCTGGCTCTTACTTCATGTGTGCTTTTGGTCTGATGCCCTTTGAAATATATTTTTTTAATTTAATTTAATTTATTTAATTAATTTAATTTAATTTTTATTTATTTGATTTTATTAATTTAATTTATTTACTTTATTATTTTATTTTCTTTATTTATTTTTGATTTAAGAATTTTTTAATTTAATTTTGAGAGAGACAGAGACAGCCTGAGCAGGGGAGGGGAAGAGAGAGAGAGGGAAAGAGAGAATCCCAAGCAGCCTCCATGTTGTCAGCACAGAGCCCCATGTGGGGGTTCCAACTCCTGAAACTGTGAGATGGTGACCTGAGCCGAAACCCAGAGCCACACACTTAACCAACTGGGGCACCCAGACGCCCCTCCTTTGGTATTTTTTAACCCAAGTTTAACTTTTATTCCTTTTTGACATGAATTTACTTGTCTTAATAGCCCAATCAAAATGAAAGGCCATTAAAGCAGCATTGAGGCACTTCTGCAAACCAACATTGATTTGTTAACTTGGCAATACATAGCTGTTAGGTTCTTTCTGGTAGATACCAATGCTTGCCAGAAAGTTGGAGGTAGGTGAGGGCTAGCTGCTCCTTTGTAGCTGCACCACCAGCTTACTGCGAAAGACAGGTTCAGACTTTCTTGAGCAAATGTGTATCACTAAGCAAAGACCTGCTTGTATGTGCTTGATGGTGTTTCCTCTGTCCTTATAGGTGATGCAGACACAACATTCTAGCTCAGGAATCAGCAAACTGTGGCCCTTCACTTGTTTTTGTCGATAAAGTTTTATCAAAATAGTCATGCCCATTTGCTTACATGTTGTCTATCACTGCTTTCGAGTTACAGTGGCAGAATTGAATAGTTCCATGGAAGCAGGATGGCCCACAATGACTAAAATATTTCTGTATGGGCCATTACAGAAAACCAACCCTGGTTTTCTGTTGTAGAGGCAAGATCCTGTTACCATTTGAGTTGGCATCAGGCAACTGGAATCCTCTAGTGGAAGAGCTTGATAAGTCATAGGCATTACTGCTAGAAGTTTAGATTACAGGCCTCCTTAAATTGTTATGTCCTATTCATGCCAGGGTATTATCTTTAGGATATTATGGCCAATTCAAATGTCTTGCATGCCTCTGATCTCTCATTATGTGAATTTAAAGTCTCTAATGTTGATAGAGATAAAGAGAAAACTTAGGAATTGCCTCAGGGTCATGGGCTTCTTTAGCAGACATTAGCTGACCACATCTGGGGTGTGAATTTTAGGATAACTGACCAAAACCTAAGCTATTGACAGATTATTTTAATTATAACATTACTTCAGTGCATGTAAACATAAAGCTAGGTATAAGCACTTAATACTTATACACAAGCAATAAACCTAAACACTTTTACAGATTGTAAATAAAACCAGAATACCGATAAATTTTAAATTAATTTTTGATAAGCCTTTATTGAGATATAATTCATATGCCATAAAATTCAACCTGTTAAAGTACACAGCTCGGTCGTTGTTGGCACGTTCACAAGACTGGGTAATGCTTCTTGCTACCTGATTCCAGAATATTTTCATCACCCCTTTACCCCCATTCTATTTCCCTTGCCCTTCTGCCTTATAGAATTGCCTGCTCTGGAAATTTGTTTTTAGGTGTTATTTTATTTATTTGAGAGAAACAGCATGAGTGGGGAGGAGCAGAAAACCCCAACCAGATTCCCCACCACCATCACAGAACCCGGTGCGGGGCTTGAACTCACAAAACCAAGAGTCAGGTGTGTAACAGACCGAGCCACTGGGCACCCCGCCTGTTCTGGACTTTTTATGTAAGGAGACTCTTATACTATGTGATCTTTGGTAACTGTTTTCTTTCCTAGTGTAATGTTGTCAGATTTCATCTGTATTTATTGAGGATGATCAAAATTCATGTGTTTTTAGGTTCATTGCCAGTTCAGAGTTCTTGTTGAACCCCTCTGGGGATTTTTTTTTCTTGTGAGTTACTGTTCTTTTCCATTCAAGAACTTCTGTTTATATAATTT